GGAAAAATTCATATCAAACTTTAATGCCATATCCGATAACAAAAAGACCTTGGGAAAGAGTAGCCGTAGATATTTTTACGTATGCTAAAATAAGCTACTTAGTCATGTACGATGCATTTTCAAACTGGTTGGAAATAGTACAAATTAAAGACAAAAGCGCAGTAACTGTTATGCAGGAAATCAAACAAATTTTTGCAAGGTTTGGATCACCAGACGTATTAGTAGCAGATAATGTGCCATTTAATAGCGAAATTTTCAAAAAATTTGCAATGGAATGGAATTTTAAATTAGCGTTTAGAAGCCCAAATTTTCCCCGATCCAACGGATTAGCTGAAAAAGCGGTTGCAATTGCTAAAAGCATCATTAAAAAAGCGAAAGAGGAAGGGAAAGATATGTATTCGGCTCTTTTGGCTTACAGAAACATTCCATTAAAGCATATAAACTATTCACCTTCTCAAATATTAAATTCACGCCGATGCAAAACTAAAATACCTATAGCACAAGAGTTATTGAGTCCAGAACTTTGCAAAAACATGACCAAAAAATTAGAATACAAACAACAGTTAAATACAGATTATTTTAATAAACATGCAACAGACCATGCTCCTTTAGATAACAATAGTAACGTAACTGTTTACAACCATGTAACTAACACGTGGGAACCTGGTAAAATTGTAAATACTCATCAGTTCCCCAGATCATACGTTGTTAAAGATAGTTTAGGTAATACTCTCAGAAGGAACAGACATGATTTGCGGATGTCGCAAAACGAATATCAAGTAAAAGATCATGAATGTGAGAGCATATCTCAAAATAATGAAAAGACATTGCTTAACTTACCTCAAACCTCTGAAAGTGGACCCAAAGATCATACTACACTAGATAGCCAGCGTATATGCAAGAGTTGTTTCGCGTTTAAGTTAGTTCCATAAAAATATTTATAGGGGGCTTTCAAAGTTAAGAGCGTAACTGATTCATCCGAAGCCGTCTTCGTACGAGTTCGAATCATATCATAAATACAAAGAGTGATTGATTATTGTCTAAACACGAGACACATAAACATGACCTACTGAACACTCCTCACTATCATTGGGATAAAATTACATTTGTAAGTGGGCGTCATTCAAGACGAGGTAGATTCTATTACAGTCAGGACGTTACAATGAAAGAAATAATTTGAAAGTTGTACACAATATTCCCTTTGCTTTTTTTTAACCAGCGCTAACCAATACATTTTCCAGATTTTCGGATTAAATTAATAATTGCAAAAGCGTCTTTTTTCTTAGCATAATTTCTGAAAACTTTTAGTTTCAAGTAGGTATCTACGATACTTAGATTTGTTGTAATTAAGCATTTTATGATTGGGATAAACGAGATATCCCGCTTAGCCTCCTACATAATAAAATTGTATCCAGCTAAAGTGAGTCGGAACTAGAAGCGTCTGTGGTTAAAATTTCAAAGAAATATCTCCATAAATATGAAAGTTGGCATTGCGCAGTTTGCGCAAAATATGGAAAATACGAAACTGATCGAAATGGGCAAATATAGACCATAACGGCTATCAATTAGCGAAAACCCGAAGTCTCTAGGTGGCCCAGGGGCCGAGATCTCAATGGAACGGATGGACGGACGGACGGGACAGACGGAAACACGAGCACATAAGCTTTACCTCAACTTCGTTGTGTTACGATAAAAAATTTAATTTAAAACAAGATGTGAATATTCGGTATTTTAATTTACAGTAAGGTAACCAGATAAAAACATCTATAACACCCACACAAGGTTGCGCTTAGGAATGACACCGATATCCCATACAATAGCCCTTTATTCTAAAAATAACTGTGCTTTGCCATTTCGCGCGTCTTCTTACCCCGCCTGGTAGTTTGTACTATTCTCATAAAAACATAGCCGCTGGAGGACGCAGTCGACTTATGTGGCGGGACGAATTATGAGAGTCTAAAATTTATACAGCGCTGTCTATCTAGTGTAGTATGATCTT